CTTCCAGACATAGTCAGGTAGCCATAAAATGTAACACTTCTGCCCCAACAACTACATAAAATAAATTGTTGGGTGAAACTACACTACTTCTGTGGAAAAACCATCTGAGAGATAGTGTAAACTTTTGAATCATTTCAGGACATATGTAAGCTATTGTAGTAAGTGTGCATCTTCTGTTTCTTTTTAAATTATTTGTTTGATGATAAATAATACTATATATCGAAAGGATTTAAAAGTTAGATTAATTTAGCTTCTATTTTAATGAAAAGTGTAATCTTCTGAAGAGAATCAAATCTAGTTTTCTATAGATAAAAACTACCAACTGATGATTCAGAACAATCTATATTCAATTAAGAGGACCTCTTGTCACATATTAATGTTATCATGGACAAAAAATGAATTACTGGATGTATAGTAGAGTGACAACTTATTTAGCTGGCAAAATGGGGACCACAACCTGAAATAAATCTTTCCTGAACCCCCCTCTCCTGGCCTTCAAACAATCTCCAACCCCATCACCAAAAGCAAGCTCCCCACAGATCGGGACACACCAACTCAAAGCAACAACACACCCTTCCAGGCCAGAACAACAGATACAAAACCTGTAGACATATCTCTACTGCTACAATGATCAACACCCCACACCCCAACACACTGTTCAACATCTGGTGTACCTCATCTAGTACACTAAATGTCCTAATAACTAAGCGGGTGAAACCAGACAATCACTACACTCTCAAATGAACTCACACAGGAAAATGATAAAAGACAAAAACACCATCACCTGTGAGTGAACGCTTTTCACAAAATAATCACTCTATATTTGACCTCTCCGTCGTCATTCTGTACAATACCTTCAAAAGATGAGCCTGGGAGCTTAAATTCATAACTTTGCTAGACACTAAAAATCATGTACTGAATAGAGACACACTGGATTTATAGCTTATTACAAAAATCTATAACCCACTTAAAACCCTACCACCACCATGCCAACCTGCTTTTTTCCCTCCTCCCTTCCTTTCTCCCCTATAACTGAACGGGTGTTAATGGCCACTTCATCTTGAATGGTCTTTATGCTAAACAATCTGTTCCACCTTGTATTTAGCTGTGACACTCTGAGTACATTTTGCAGACCTGAAGAAGAGCTCTGTGTAAACTCAAAAGCTTGTCTCTCTTGCCAACAGAAGTTGGTTCAATAAAAGATATTATCTCACCCATCTTAACTCTCTAATTTCCTGGACCAACACGGCTACAACAATGCCGCATACATACAAAATGATGCATTGAGACCTAGCTGTGCAATTCCTGTTAACGTAAATAGGAAATACATGACCAAATCCCAGTAGATGGCTCTGAAAATATTCTCTTGGCTCTGTGCTGATTTACATCTCAATTAATCTGAATGTTTTTACAACACTTAATGGTTGGTGTCCCATTTCTGAGGAACAACAGAAAGGTTTTGGATTTCTTTTTCTGTGCACTGAAACTCTGTAATAGAAATATTAAAGCTGTTAATTCCATTTTCTGCTGGAACATATTTATTATAAAATGACTTAGATTCCTCTTTTAGAGCTGAAATTTGGTTACAAATTCATAACTTATTATTAGTGACTGGTTTGTGATTTGTCTTTAAGCCTTCCTCTAAGCCCCTAATTTACAAATCACATAAGCACATAGTTAAGTGCTTTGCTGAATCAGGGCCTTATACTGTAAACTTTTGAGGCAGTGAACCAGTTATTAGTCACAGCTCTCCCTATACTGTACAGTAGAGTGTACATTTAAGGTGCTTTTATAATTATTATCACTGAGCCAAATCCTGAAGTCCTTATTCACTCCTTACTGAGAACTCCACTAAGTTTTTTGGGAATTTTGCCTTAGTAAGGAATGAATGAGGACTTCAGCATTCTTATGTCATATAAAGAAGTAAAATAATTCTTGATACTATTGTATTTTAAGGTGGAATGCTCAGTTATGTAAAAGTATCTGGCTGTAAGTCCCATGGAAAGCTCTAGCAAAAGTAAAAACAGTTATTTTTTAACTGGCCTTTGGTTTTTTCCCAAGTTATGGAAATGTTTTTTCCCAAGTTATGGTTATGTTATGACCCAAGTTTGGCTACAGTGCTTCATCTCTAATTGGGATCCTTTCAATGTTTACTTTCTATGAAACTGAAATGCTAGGCTCAAAATACTACAAGTGTAGCTCTCTTAATAAAATGGGATAGCTGAGATTTATAAAGCTATAGGCAAATCCAGTCAAAAGCCAGCATGGGCACAAATCTGAGTCCAGGGAACAGTTCCTGTCAAAAGGGGAAAACCAAAATATCTGAATCTTGTTTTTGACTGCTTAAAATTTATAAAAGGTAAGCTTACAGTTTTTCCACTCACAGCCCTATTTATTAGAGCAAATAGATGGCTTCTAGTGCAGTGAGCTGAATGATAGAAATTGGAAGAAAAATTAGTATAACATTCCTAATGCCTCTACTTGCAATTGAAGTCATTCCTTCCTTTCATTTAAATGCAAGAGCTCAGTGATTAAGCTAATTACTGAGCCTTGATACGTTCAAAGAAGCAATTACCCTCATAATTAATACATTAAAATATTTGTATTATTAGACACCAGGAATACCCATATTGACCTTTAAAAACAAGATTATTGGCCTTGACATTGGTTAACACTCCAATGATTTGTAGTTCTCTCGCTGTTAACTCCTGATCCAACAAGAAAACCTCTGGGCCTGATTCTCCTCTCATGTATTCTGTAAAGCTGATGTAAGTGAGAAAAGAATCAGGCTCTCTGTCTCTAAGAATGTACTACCAGAATATTGATAGAATCTCAAAACACACATGTAAGAAACAAAATCACATGTTCCTTGTTTGCAAGACAGACCTCCCAACTGTCTCTCACTGGAAGGGGCATCTCCACTTCTTTTTTACTAAAATTTCCTTGCAGCTCACACAGAACCTTTCCCCCCATATATTAAAATAACAATTAATGACAAAATCACTGGCCCTGTGTCAGAGAAGAGGATGCATGGAGTCCACTCCACCTCTGTGTAAAAGCTAGACAGAAGGTATTCCTTGCAGTTCACTGATTGAAAAATTGCACAGAATTCATGTCCCACACAGAATTATTTTTTCTCTGCAGAAAATACATTCTGCCAGAGAGGTGCTGCAGTTAAGCTTTTTGCCCACCAGAGGGCTGCTGTGGCACCAGAACAGAGAGCAGCCCCAACTGTGGATAGGGAAGAGAAAAGGCTGCATTTCTCACAGCGCCCTGCCCATGAGGCCAGGTCAGGAGGCACAGGATATGGGGAGACTAATGGCATGAGGCACATGGGGGGGTCATTGGGGTTCAGAAGGGTTGGGGGGGGGGGGGGAGACTGGTCAGGAGGCTGAATGGGAGTGGTGGTGCAGGGACACATGGGGACCAGGGTAGATGTGCCTGACTGAATGAGAGAGGCTAAGGGTCAGCCAGTGTCTGCATGGGGGAGACTCTCTAACAATCCCTCCTCTCCCCAAATTCCGATGAGGTCCAGCAGCTCGGCATTGCTCCAAGTGGGGGATCGCCTGGTGCACGTAGCAGGCATGGCCACCTGGAAAGATACATTGAGACCACTACATGCATCACCAAGCAAACAGGAAGGGGACTTTCAAATTTGCAAAGGAATGTACGGGGTGGGGCTGATGGTTGGTCACCTGAGTGAGAGCAGGGCAGTAGAGTTCAAACCAATGGCCAGAGAGGTGAGACCAGGCATTGTGGGACACCTCCCAGAGGCCAATCGCAGCCTGTAATCTCCATGTTATCTACCCTGGCACCGCAGTGCTGTAGCCCTGGAGCAGAAAGCTCTACGCCTCTTGTCGGGGTGGTTTTTTAGAGTGCTGCATCTGCGCAGTTTCTGTTCACTAAGTGGCTTGGCAGTGTGTACACCTCAAGAGTTACAGCATTCAAAGCTGCTTTATTGTGCACAAACTTGCCAGTGTAGACAGGGCCTTAGAAGCAGGTGCGTAGTATACAGGGCAATGCCAACTTGAAATCTAATGGATTTTTTAAAAAGAATTAAAAGTAGCTTCAAGTACTACACTTGCCACTCAACCCCCTGTCACTTTTTGTGGTTTCAGTAACATTTTCCCAGTTTACATTTTTTTCTCACCTTTGTTCTTAAGTGACTCACCCAAATAACAGGGGAAACCCATTAACTAAACTGCCATACACAGAGTGCTATCGAATGCTCAAGCAATTTGTTCTGTCATCTTGCATTCACAATCACTGTGTTGCTTGTGACAATAGCAGATTAAAAAAACGTTCAGACAGAAATGTGACTATTTAAGTTGATAGACTCTCTCCCACTAAAACTGAAATTTGATTAAAATTGTGAGGGTTAAGACTCCACTTCTCACAAGCCCCACAGCCCTGGAAGGGGCTAGACATGGAGAGATCCCACATTGGAGTTTGGCTGAGTTGTGAAGCCTCTGGCTAGACACGGGGGATGGGGGGCGGCCGCAGCCAACAACCAAAAAAGCGGAATCATAAAACTGCGGTTATATATAAAAATTAAAGTGAATCATTTCCTGCTCCTTTCTTTTCTTTTTCGTTATTGCTTTGTCGCTTCCCGGGAGATTTGCCACCCGTTTTAAGAGCCAGCGTCTTGCATGTACAGACATGCAAATTGGGGGTCAGGGTGCAAGAGCCCACTTCCCACCAGCCTCCCGGCTCCCCAGCAGCTGGCTGGGTGGGGACACCTTTCTCTTCCTCGGGAAATTCCGCAGATGGTCTCCCCTGCGCCGCTCCTGCCTGTTCCCAAAGACACGGGCATTCCCACTTCAGCACGTAGCTGCAATGTGTGAATGCAAGTGACACATACACACAGAGCTCCCCTCCAACACAAGCCCCCTACACTTGTGCCCTCCTCCTCTCTTTCCTGCCGGATCAGTGCCTCTCCTTGCGACTCCTCCTCCTCCTCCCCCGCCCGGCTAGCTGGGACTCGGAGCCGCCGGGAGCTCGGCAGTCTGGCAGACCGGCCCCAAGGCGCAGCGCCTCGCCAGGGGGAGGAGAGGTGGCACGAGGGGCCGAGCGCCGCGCAAACCGCTCGCTCCTCCCGAAGATCTCGCAAGGCAGCCGGGAGAGGAGAAGGGCAGACACCGTGCGGGGGAGCCGCGGGGAATCCCGGGCTCTTCGGGGAGCGGAGAAACTTACTGACTCGCCTTTCCTCTTGTAGCAGGGAGGTAAGAAAGGGGCTGGGGCCGGGACCCCGCCGGCTTGCCCTCGTCCCGCCCGGGGGCTCTCTGTCCCTGTGCCTAGCTCTGGGCGGCCGCCTAAGGGATCCTGTCCCTGCCCAGGGGTCCTGGGCGGTCCCCGCCCTCTCCAAGCGTTGGCCTCGCCCTTACCCCGTGCTAGGGGCTGTGGGGTCCCTGTGCAGCTAGGAGCTTTGTTCCTGTACCTAAGGGCGCTGGGGTCCCTGTCCAGGGGCTCTGTCCCGGCCTCTGTCGCGCCCCTCGGCTCGGAGCCCGCCCCTCACCCCCGCTCTGCTGTCCCCACGGCTCTCCGTGGCGCATGGGTGGAGACGGGTTTCAGGCTGGGAGGCGAGACGTGAAACTTAGCGGCAGGCGCTGGCAGGCTGTGCCGCGCCCCCAGGCTGGTATCAGCGGGCGTGAGCGGCTGGGCGCGGGCCGGGCCGCCGTGCGCCAGGCGCTGCTGTGTGGGTGGCTGGCCAGCCGGTGGGCTGCGTTTGCGGGAGCTCCCGCGGGGGTGGGGCGGCGCCGCACGCACGGCAGCTGAAAACTTTCCCGCCTGTCTCTCCCCCTCTCCAGCTGACAGATGAGTCCCGGCTGCAGTAGCAGCAGGAGCAGCAGAGGCGCCCCCGGGCCCCGCCGGCTAGCGCTGCGGTCCAAGAGCCCGGGGCCATGGCGTCTCCTCAGTGCCCAGGGATGAGCAGGGGGCAGCAACCTCTGGCTGGCCGTGCAGCTGCCCAGGTGCCCGCGCCAGCAGCTCTGGGACGGCGAGCCGTCTCCCTGGGCCAGGAATAAGTGTCCTGCAGCGCCCCCCGGCTTCACTCCCACACGCGCCCCCCAGCATGGCTCTCTCGGCCCGAGTCGCTCTCCGGATGATGCAGGGAAAGGGCCAGGCAATCGGCTGCCCAGCCACCCACTGACTCGCCCCCGCCTCTCTGAACAGGGCCTATGGCCCCCCATCGGCGCCGAGCAGCCCCGGAGTTCTCCGCTTGAGAGCAGAGAAGCAGCCGGAGCGGCTGAGACCTCGCACAGTCACTGCAGGTACGGCAGGGGTGGGGTCTTACTAAACCAACCCTTTTCTCCCCCCCCACGTCCAGAGAGCTATTTACACGCCGCACCCTCCCAAGTCAATCGGAAGTGACTTCGGAAGAGAGGCACAAATCTGAGCTCTCGAGGCAGGGAAGACACGGGGTAGGGAGAACAACGCAGTGCCTGTTCTGCCCATCTGTGAAACTCTTATCAAGCTGGGAAGGAGGAGAGACACCCCTTCCTTTAACTCCCTGCACTAACCTGGGGCAGGGGAGGGGGCATGGCATTGGTGGGCAGACTGAAATACAACCCCTCTCGCCCCCCAAACTCCTAAATAGGTCCTTTGGCATGCTGGAGGCTGCCGGTCTCTTTGCAGCTGCAAAGACCATTTGTTGTGGTCTCACAATTCTGAAATACTTCACAGGCTGCGATCGACTCATTGGCAGGAGTCGCTAGTGAGGAGTGGAAGCAAAACGGTTGTACTTTTCCCCAAGGCTAGTTTGCCTGTTCGTATTTATTTGTATAGAACTTCGATTTTTGTTCAGCTTTATGTTTGCTTTGACAGAAATGGTGGTGTACTGATTATTGGTGAGAGACAGATGGAAACTACAAAGGGGATTGTATTGTTTCCTTACATCGATACATAACTGACTACTAAATCATTCATCCAGTGGACAGAAGCTTATTAGTAACAGTACGCTCCTAAAGGAGACTACAGTTTAGAGGGTTAGTAGATACTTTAAATTTTTTCCTAGGCACAATAATTAACAATAGTGATATAGAATTCAATCTATATATTGCTCTGCAGAATTGAAAACACTTATCTAGTCAATATTTTAGGATTGAAGAGGTTAATTTTTTCATTAATCAATTATCATGCAATATGTTGATACAGAATTATTGTGCACTCATTTAAGTTCTTGGCAAAGTATATTTTATTCAGTAGTTAAATATACAAAATAAGTGTCTTTACTGTTTGAAGAGGGGATAATTCCCTTAATTTGTCCTTTTGGTATAACACCAGTTGCAAAACAACCAGTTGCAACATGAGAGAGACCTGCATTTTATTACTATGCTTTTAAAGGATGAGGATTATATGGTTCAATAAAATTCTGTCATAATAGGTTTCCTATTTTGTGATTTATCTTGGTTCTAGATTGATACAGAAGTGATTGTTCTCTTATTTTTTGCTGTAAATAAAAGGCACTCCTATAAAGTGATGGGAGCCATATAAATCCCTACAAAGGAAAAAAAGCCCCATCAAATTTCCCCTTCATTTGTTTCTAAAACACTCTATGCACAATGTAGCAACTTTAAAAGCAGCAAATTATGTTTTCATTGTATAGAAACTGTAGCTGAATAATTTGGAAATGCTGCTACATTGTTTTAAGTTTGGAACATTTTAGTGTATATGTTGCCAGTAGCATTTAGTTGTAACAAAATACTTTGAATATAATTATGGAACAATTAGTCTTTTGTCTTTAGCAGAAAACAGCACTCCATACAGGGAGATAAGCCGCCTTAGATAGATATAAATTACATACGATTTTATTCTCCGAATTACTATGTTGTTGGCATAGAAACATATTTTACTTGTTGCTCATTTGTTAGAGCCAGCATGAAAGTGCAATATTGCTAAAGGGATACTGACTCACAGAGTTTAGTATAGTAAGATTGCTTTACTTGAATAGAAGTGAGCTACAACTGATGATTTTAACCATTATAATTTTGTCAGAATCTAAGGGTTATTTTATTTTCACTGAAAGCTCCATAATCAGATTAAAACAGTAAGGCATTAAGAGTTCAATCCTGCAAGGTACTGAGCAATCCAGCCTAGCATTTAACCTGTAATTACATAAGTAGTCCCAGGTTCAATCCCTATTGCTGACCTATGGTGGGGTTTATTATTTACATATGCTCGTAGTCCCACTGATTTTAATGCAACTATTCGCTTGTTTAAGTGCTTTGGGTCATGACCAGAATTTCGCAGCCTCTTGCAGGATCAAGCCCTAATTCACTGAGGTCTGTTTCCATTTCCTTGGATTTACATGGTAATATGACAGAAAATACCTATTGTATACCACAGGAACCAGAATTTGTGGGTAAAACGCTCTTGGGTCATTCATGTGTCTCTCAGTTAAAAATAAAATGAAATGGGAAAAACCAGAAAATCAATAGTTAGTTTAGGGAAAAGATGAATAAAAGACAAATTTATGGTACAACCAAAGGAGATGGCTACTAATTGTAGTTTATTCATTTGGAACCACAATCTGAATTTTTTTCCCCTCAAGCAAAATTCCCAATGAAGTTGATTAATCCAGATGAAAATGTGATATACAAAAAGGGAGAATCAAAGGTTGCTGTCAGGAAAAGTTTGCTATTTTAAGATCACTTTATTTTTTGTACAGGAGTCAATAGGAGTCTTGCTTGAGTAAGGACTGGAGGACTTGATTGAAATGAGAGCCTGATGTAGTAATATTTTGGTATCATACATGGTGTTTTAAACCTTGTGATGTATTTTGTAAGCAGTGTAGTTATTTTATTCAGTAAGGACTCGATCCTGCCCCACTGAAGACACCAGGCGTCTTGCCTTTAACTGGGGTAGGAGCAGAAACAGACCCTAGGTTGCATACATCTCTGGTCTCCCTGTTAAGATTTATGGTTAAAAACAAAAAAAAAAAGCAACCAAACTAAGAAAAGAGAATAAATAACTGAGCTAACCAGAAAAAATAGTAGGGGGACAAAAGCAATGTTTACATATTTTAAAATAACTATTTAATATTTATATTATAGCAGGTCCTAATAAGGGTTGGAGTGTTGTTGTGCTAGGTGGTGTACAAACACACAAAAAAGCCTGGCCTTTGCCCCAAAGAGTTTATAATCTAAGGCTCTGATCCTGAAATAAGATCTATGTGAGTGGAGTTGTGTGTCTACATGGAGCTGAATCTGGGTATTTTATGGGATTGAAAAAAAAATGGGTAGAAATTCAGTATCCTTATTATTATACAACTCTGATTCTTTGTCAGCCACAGTGTGTCATTAACTGGATAACTGACTCCAAATGATTAATAAAAGTAAAAATCTAAAAACAGAGTCAGAAATCTGCATATTGCTGAAAGAATAGTTTCAGAGGGGTAGCTGTATCAGTTTGTTTCAGCAAAAACGATGAGTCTTGTGGCATCTTAACGACTAACAGATCTCTTGGAGCATAAGATTTTGTGGGCTATAACCCACTTCTTCAGATGTATGGAGTGAAAATTACAGTAGGCAGGCATAAATATACAGCGCAAGAAAAGATGGGAGTTGCCTTACCAAGTGGGGGGGTCAATGATTCAATCAGGCTGGATGTGGTTTGTTCATCAGCAAGAGGAAGACAAAATATATGGCTATCAATGTTCCAAAAGTAACCATTAGAGTGAATGAAGAAATACTAGAAGAAGAAAAACATGTTCCCTAGCTAGAGAGTGAGAGGATGAACCTTTGGAGCATTGTTTTTTAGGGCTCGATTAAAGCGCTCTACCAGGCTGTCCGTTTGGGGATGGTATACAGACGTTCATAAGGTCTTGATCTTGAGTAGACAGCAGAGCCGTTTGAACGTTTGGGACATAAAGTTTGTCCCTTGATCTGTCAAGATTTCCCAGGGCACCATGATTCGGGTGAAGATGTTCATAAGTTCCGTCACTACCTCCTTGGTGTTCATGGAGTGTAACGGCACTGCTTCGGGGTACCGGGTCACATAGTCCACCACAACAAGGATGAACTGGTATCTGGCGGTGCTCTTCTCAAGAGGGCCAACTATGTCAACTCCAATCCACTCAAAGGATACACCTACAAGTGGGAGGGGGATCAATGGGGCTCTCTCAGCTGGCCGCGGTGGGGTGAGTTGACACTCTGGGCATGAGGCACAGAAATCGCCACATCTCGGTAGATCCCCGGTCAAAAGAACCAGCCTAAAATCCCGGCCAATGTCTTTTCCCTTCCAAGGTGCCCAGCCATAGGTATGGCATGGGCGAGCCACATAACTTCCTTCCGTTAAGGCCGGGACACCAAGAACTGACGTGGAACATCTTCGGTTGGTTGATCTTTTTCTATGCGGTACAGACGGTCACCTTGAATGTTGAAGCGTGGGAACCGTCCCGCTTGGCGGAGTTCAACAGTCTCCCCCTTCACCACTGCCACTTGGGCATATGCCTGGCTCAGGGTGTCGTCAGCCCGTTGCTCCTCCACAAAGTTAGAGAGGCGAGTCAGGATCTCTGATTTGGGGAAATGGGGGGGAGTTCCCCTCCTGGCTGGGAGGGGGCCTGGTGGTCCTGAGTTGGCGCTGAGACCTGTGATGCCCCTTTACCAGGGTCAGCAACCTCCCCCAAGCCTGCAAGGGTCACTGCTTCAGGCTGGCCGGTGGCTGGGGTCCTCGACCGTCGGACAGGGGCACCACCAGGTTCGCTAACAATTTCCCAAAATAGTCCCAGTTCTGGCCTAAGATAAGTGGGTAGGCCAGTGTCAGGGCTAGACTGACCATCAGGGGCTCTTCGCGTTTCCCTATTGTTAAAGTCACTTCCGTGTGGGGGTAGGCCCTCACATCTCCATGCACACATTGCAACATGATGGTGCCCTGAGGTGGGCCAGGATTAGGCACCACCGTATTTCGTACCCTGACTCTGAGTTCAATCTCTTCTTTCCCATTTACCCGCAGCAAGATGCTCAGCTTTGCTGGGTCTCCGGGACATGCTCGTGCCTGCGGAATCCAGATCTTCCCAAAGCTACATTCCATGTACGGGCAGTCTCTGGACCAGTGCCCAGAATGGCCACATGTGAAACACTGGTCCTGCTCTTGGGTGGCACGTAGGGTTTTCTGCCTGGGTACCTGGGTGCTCGGGTCACGATGCGCCTCCCTGAGTTCTGGTGGTTAGGTAGTTCTCCATGAACTGAATGGCCTCTGTCATGGTGATGCCACAACACCCATTCTCTTCCCCCAGGGGGCAGAATCTGGACAAACTGCTCTAGTAGAACCC